GCCTGTCTGTGTGACGTCACACAGACAGGCATCTGAGATCGGCTCGATTTGAGAAAGGGGTAAAGATTTTAGTAGATTAACAAAAAACCACTGGGTGGATTTTTATCATTTTAGGGTGGTTGTGTACACACACTGCCAACACACATTTCAGTTCAAACAACTTGTAAAAGTGCATGTAGCATTATATGACCCCTTTAAAAGTTGTAAAAGTCTCAGATCAGGGAACAGGTAGGCAGTCCGGAGAGGAACAGAGAGGGTGAAGGTTCTAGAAAATGACTTTGTACCTCATTGTGAAGGAAGCACAACTGTCATATTTGCTAGCTGTAAATGGTGGGAGGGAGCATACACTTATAGTGTTCACTTCCAATGGCAGTCCCGATGGCCAACATCAAAGCCTCTGGAGCGACACAAAGAGGAATGTGACACGGACCCTCTGTGGTTGACCGTTTTGTTGAATATCACCTGCAGAGGCTTGTGCTGCCCACATTCTGTACAATTTTAGCAGCTCTGCCGCAGTTAATGATTGCAGACAAAAGTCAATTAAAAAAAAAGCAACAACACGGTGCTCATTCACATGAGTGATGATCGCTACGTTTGAATGTCTCAATGATCAAGGATCTTTTGTGTTGGCGCCGACACCCTCATGGGCAGTGTGCTGACATACATAGTGCTGTTGCGCTTTGGGACGTCCCGAGTTTGAGACCTTTTCTGATCTCATCCCACTGTCTCTCCCCTTCGCTTCCTCTCTACTCACTGTCCTTTCATAATAAAGGCAAAAAAAAGAAATAAAAAAAGCGCCAATGTGTCACAGATGCCCGAAAGATATTTAGCAATTTCTAATTACAATTTCTAGACCTGTCTGCAATCCAAGTTCTGTAGTGTGAAATATGTTTTGACTGGAAATGACATTGGTGATGACAGACAGTTGTATAGTGTGGAACAAAATGTCAATCCAACAACTTTGAAAGGCATGTTGTGTATAGGCAACATTAGTGTGTTAGCTGGAAGTCCGGCCAATGGAGCGTTACAGCAGCATTGCAATGACAAGAGCTCAGATGAGAAGCTGCGCAACACACTCCGAAACGAAGGTCTGATTTTCCTGATGGTACAAAGCAAAACCATGCATTTACCAGGCAATGACTGAAATTTGAGTAGTAAAGCTCAACTGGTCTGAAAGGCCTTTTACTTAGCTTCATTTTATTCTTTTCTTCCCTTTTTCCCTTGAGCAAAATAACAAACCACTGAAACAGGTACTTTTTGAGCACACTAATTTCTTTTGGCTTTCGTATGATTAAATATTCCGGTACTTTCCTTTGAGAAACAAGATTTTCAGAAACATTCCCAGTATAATTTCATCAGTTGCAACTGAAAAAAAAAATCCAGTCTTTCTCTGTGTGTGGGATAATCTCTGACAACGTAAAGAGAAACAGGTTGTGATTTTAGTTAAACTTTACCCAAAATCAAACATTTCCTTGATACTAAATTTAGGCCTAATACCACCTACACATACAGTGCTGACAGTAGGGCTGAAAAAAAGAATGATCTCAGAACCCAGTAATGTGAAACCAGATCAACCAGTTAGAAGCTAGATATACTGGAATAATGAACAAGCATGCATGGAGTGTCAGACTATGCTTTTGTGGTAAACAAGGTCTTGTAAAATCTCCACTTGTTCACACTGTCAGTATTTGGGTTTTTAAATTCATATTTTTAGTAACACTCCTGTTCATACAATCGCTTTATACACCACATTCTATAGACCTGCCTGATTTTTCTCATCAGCCATGCCAATTGTGAGACCATTTCACATCCCCCTATAAAGGAAAATGCTGTAACTACAATAAAATTGTTGAAGCTATGTTTACTTCATATTGTATTTGAAGTGATTCACTATACATTCAAATGTGGTTGTCACCCTTTGGTTACCATACTAGAACAAAACCTAAGAAATAGTAACTACCATTTGTTTGGGGTCAGTAAGATTTTTAAATGTTTTTAAAAGAAGTCTCATGTTCACCAAGGCTGTATTTATTTGATCAAAAATACAATACAACAACAGTAATACTGTGAAATATTATTACAATTTGTAATAACTGCTGTCCATTTTAATATATTTTAAAATGTAATTTATTCCTGTGATGGAAAAGCTGATTTTTCAGCATCATTACTCCAGGCTGACTTCTAATAGGCTGATTTGGTGCTCAAGAAACATTTCTTAGTATCATAAATGTTGAAGACAGTTTTGCTGCTTAATATTTTTGAGGAAACCGTGATGATTTTTTTGAGCTTCTTAATGAAGAGAAAGCTCAAAAGAACAGTGAAATAAAAATCTTTGTAACATTATAAATGCTGTGCTGTTATTTTGATAAATGAATGCATCCTTGTTGAATAAAAGTATTAAATTTTTTTTTTTTAAATCCTGCTGACCACAAACCTTTGAATAGCAAAGTCTGAGAACCCACTACACTTCCCTAAACAATAATTTACAAAGGTAGCCATAGTTTATGCAAAAAGTTGTTACTTCAATTAACAATTAAAAAACAAAGCATTAATATAGAATCTTCTTCATATAGTGATTATTTTACTAGTCATTCTTATTGACTCACTAGTTTTATTATTTCAGTCTATATGGATGTAGTCTACTGTCTATAAGGAAGTTAATGCAGTTTTATTGCATCGTAATAACCGTATAACCACAATACGGTTAATAACCACAGTATATTAACAGGATTGTTGTTTAAAGCCAATCAAATCAGCTGCCAAATCTTGTGCTGTACCTGTTTGTGGTTCTGCTGTCTGAGGCTGGTCAGTCTCCGCGCGGAGTAAAAGATGAAGTATCCAACAGTCACCGCAGTAACGATGAAGAAGGAGATGGAGACGAAAAACACCGAATAGTGACTCATCCAGGGACCGTGCTGCTTCCCAACCTCTATTGCTATGGAAACGGGCACGCCCTTCTCTAGCAGCTGGACCAGCTCCATCCCACGGAAGTTGCCAATCATTACTGCAACGATGCTCGTGCCTAGAAACACACAGAGATGAGAGAATACTGAAAACACAAGCAGCACGCCTGCGCAAAAGCAAAGCACACCGTAGCACTTGGCAACCTGCTGGTTGAGAAGGAAAGACAGAGTGGAAACTTCAACAAACATGCAACATCAAACGCGTTTACTAACACATACCCAAATAAAATACATTTTAAATTAAGGGAGAGGAAATTAAGCAAACTTGTGTCATGCACGAGACACAGTGGTCAAGGACAGAGTTTGTTTAATGAGATGTGAGCCCTGAATTCTTATATTTTAGACTCCAAAAATGATGGAAAAAAATGACTTGTTTGCATGAGCGTGACAAAAAATATAGATTTAATATAAATCTACCATCTAGAGCTAAAACCATAAAAACACATTTCGTTACTTTAAATAAACATGAACTGAAAGCAAAATCAAATTGATTTGAGCTATTTAACAAGGCAACAATTCTCATTTTCATTTATTTTAACTTTGTGGTAACACTTTATTTTAAGGTGTTCTTGTTACACGTTACATGTACTTATATATATATATATATATATATATATAAAATAAATTATGCATAATTACATGCATGTCACCCTAACCATAGTAAGTACATGTAGTTAATTAATAGTACTTAGTACGTAATGTATAATTACACTGTAACAAGGACACCTTAAAATAAAGTGTAACCCATGAACTAAAATGACTAAATCAAAAAAAATTATAGACTATTTTAAAACAAATAAAAATGACAAAAACACATGACAAAAAAAAACTAAAATTGCAAAGACAACGGAAAATACAAATACAAAATATTAACCAAAACTATGATAATATATCAATGCTACTCGTCTACGTACACACACAACATTTCGTTTTATGACATGACACAACGTGATAAAACACGTTTATTTACAGGTCATCTGAAAATCTTCAGGAAATTGTCATTGCTCAGCGAATTTCTCCTTCTAAGGCTCAGTAAGTGGGGTTGTGCGTTCAAAACCAGATCGCACCAGCTCTAAAATGCGATTCTAGTCCAGTTCTTTTAATATCCTGACAGGCGAGAGCAGAGTTTGCGCTCTTCCGCGTAGAGGAAGTCCTATCAGCCGTCAAGTTTACACAACGTACACAACACAACGCCCGGGTTAGAGTACAACTGGCAACTAATAGAGGCCAAAATTGATGAGAATAATGAGTGACAAGACAACACTTGTATATACACGCATACTAAAATGTTCAGCACCTCATCTGTCGCCCGTTGGGTCACCTACCTGGGTGGGACATCTGAATGACCTGATATTCTGCCCCAAAGTCGTTGAAAATGATAGCAGCTGCAGCTCCGTTCATGGCCGCGACGTTAATTTTATCGGCGAAAGTGCATCCGTTACCGCGCTGGATTAAGGCGATCCAGCTCCTGGAGTCGTTCGGTCGTCGATAAAAGGTGTCATCTTCACAGCCATAGATCGGATCGGCTAAATACACGTTCCCCACTACAGAAGTTTTGGGTGAGTCTTGCCCATACAGCCCCATCTCCTCTCGCGACCAGGTGGTTAGGTTTGTTTCAGGGATTGTGCAGGAAATATTCAGGTATGCAGTGCACAGGTAAGTGCCCTGCGCCAAACGCACACTCGACACCTGGAAAACAGAGGCCACCAGCAGCCACGAAAACACATCCCGACTCGCAAGAAGCCCCATGTTCGGCACACCAGCACTGCACAGCTTGAAATAATTTTGGTTATTAAAGTGCCTCAAAAGTCGTTCCGCAAACTCACGTAATCGATAGCTCCCTACTGAGCGCCTACAGGTGTTATAGTAACGCAACTGAACAGAAACCCTACCTCGCTGAGGTCACTGCGCCCGAAGCCACGCCCACCTCTCTCTTAAAGCAACACACGCTGTTTTTCTCGCTTCACTCGTGCTCTTGCAAAGTGACTGAATTATATGGTTTATTACAGTTTTTTTTAACTGCCTACACACAAAATCTTTACTTGTCACACAGTTTCTGAAACCTGACACTCAAACACCAGAACCACACACCAAATCTGCAAAACCATACGCTAATTCTCTGCCTTTGACTATGTTTTGAATTTCATAAAACACTTTTTTTGCAAAACATAACACACAATTCTCTATGTAACACACAAAAATCTAACAGGAATTAATATTATGGCAAAGGTGTTTGCAAATGTTTGCTTTTGAGATGTGATATTTTGAATGCAGTGCTTCATTTTGCAAGAGATGTGAGGCATTTTGTGTGTGTGCAATTCTTGGATTTGTGTGTAAAGTTTTTTTTTAAAAAGAGGCAAAGTTTTGTAAATGTGTGTAAGCAGTTGAAAACACTGTCATGGATGTAAAAGTACAGAATTTTAAGTTAAAGTACATCAAAAATGTTACCATCTATTGCGAAGGTTATTATAAAAGCCCATTACTGTAGCTGAAAGTTTCTGAAAGGGAGAGCTGACCCAAAAATGAATATTCTGTCAGAATATCTACCATATCACCCTGCAGCCTGGTCGCACAATGAAGCTAAGCAGGGTGGTCAGTACCTGGATGGGAGACCCCCTGGGAAAACTAGGTTGCTGCCGGAAGAGGTGCTAGTGAGGCCAGCAAGGGGTGCTCACCCTGTTTTGGTCCTAGCGCCCCAGTATAGTTATGGGGACACTATACTGTCAACAAGCACCGTCCTTCAGATGAGACGTTAAACCGAGGTCCTTACTCTCTGTAGTCATTAAAAATCCCAGGATGTCTTTCGAAAAGAGTAGAGGTGTGACCTCGGCATCCTGGCCAAAATTTGCCCATTGGCCTCTGACCATCATAGCCTCCTAATCATCCCCATATCTACTGATTGGCTTCATCACTCCATCTCCTCTCCATCAGTAAGCTGGTGAGTGGTGGGTGTTCTGGTGCACTATGGCTGCCGTCGCATCATCCAGGTGGATGCTGCACACTGGTGCTGGTTGACGAGATCCCCCCTCACAATGTAAAGCGCTTTCAGTGCCTAGAAAAGCACTATATAAATGTAAAGAATTATTATTATTTATTATTATTATTAATGTTCAAACTTCTCTTGTGTATATAAAAGTGAATAGATAGGCAGGTGACCTCATATAACTTTAAAAACTTGGAATACAGTACATGACATGTATATGGACTACTTTTATAATACTTTCATGTTGATATGCTGATGCATGATTCATGCTATAAATCGTTTTTTGTCATTTTTGGAACTTGAAAGCCCCTTGTTCAAATCCAATTTCATGATGGCTGGGAAAAGTGTGAACATTCTTCAGAACTTCCCCTTTTGTAACCAACTAAAAGGTTTGGAATTACAGTGGTGGCGGGAAAATTATGATTATATAAATTATACAATTATATTTTTTGGTCAACTTTCTATTAAAGGAAAAGTTACCATATCAGTATTTAAAGTAAATTTCATTGGCTGATTAAATAAAATGAAACTTAAACTTATGTGAGCATGATTAAAGTGTTAAGTGGTTTCCTAAATATTTTGCTTTGTGAAATGTCAATATAGAAAAATAATACATTAACTTATACATTAAACTGTTAAATCTTAACACATAATCGTGATTAATTTACATGTTTTTTTTTTCAGTTCCCTTTTATAAAATTTTGCAAGTTGGCTAGAAATCAGGATTACTTTTTGAAAAATTCTAAAGTAGGCTATTATCATTATTTTACCTGAAAAGTCTAACGTTTGCCAGCAGCAAATGGACAGATAATTATTAAATAGTTAATTATCTGCTAACTACCAGATGGCTGTGCCAGTCACAGTATTCTTACAATTGTCCTTCACAGAAATAGAAATTATTACCATTTGCAATAGAAAAGTACTCATGCAATTACCATAAACAATCGGATACATATAGAAAAGGCAACGATTATTTATTTTAAAGGGGTCATATGATGCGATTTCAATTTTTCCTTTCTCTTTGGAGTGTTACAAGCTCTTGGTGCATAAAGAAGATCTGTAAAGTTGCAAAGACTAAAGTCTCAAATCCAAAGAGATATTCTTTATAAAAGTTCAGAGTCGGCCACACCTACCTAAAATGGAGCATCAAACAACATTTCATATGTGAAATTAAATGTAACATTTCTAATTTGCTTTATGCTATTTTCCGCTTTGAATGAAAAGTAGCCTATGTAGTTACCGAGAGATGTGTTGAAGCAGAAATTTCACTTGGGCTATATTTAGTTAACTCCGCAGTATTTTAGTTGAAAGACGCCCTCTCCTGCTAGACTTTGGGAAATATCAGTCTTGTTGACTGCTCTCGACATGTTAGTGTCGAGACAAACTTCTTTTTTAGTGTAGAAACAAACTAACATTCTGTTTATTTTTAATAGTTTTTAACATTTTGTCTTAGTATCTGACATACAATTAGTAGTATTCTAAATACAAAACAACCAATCAAGATAAGGTATATATGCTATAGCCTAGTTTTACCTTTAAAAATACGAAAATCAATGTGGTGTCCATTGAGGGAAAAATTCAGTAACCAGCTTTTTTTTTAAAGGCTGAGATTCAGGCCAACAAGCTTAATAATAAAATCAATGCGCAAATGCGTAAATCCAGGAAATGCAGGATAAAAAATATGCTACAAGGCAGGTGTTATGGGTTTGCCTGCAGTTCCACCTGATCACCAGTTGTGGGCACCTTCCCCTCAGTTCTGACACTACAGTGTTCATTGTTCCCACTTATAATGTTTCTGGCTTTTCGCAGTAAAAGTTTCAAGCCGTTTACTATTGTGCTAGTAATTTGAATGTCAAAATCAAATTCATATCAGAATTTATATTAGAATGTTTTATCAGAATGTTCTAATTATGGTTTCCACTTTAAAGTTAGCCACTTTTGGCATTTCTTATGGATCACTGGCCTACTATATTGTTCGTATAACTCAGCGGTGTGGAACCCATGGCTCTCGAGCCACACCTGGCTCTTTGACAAAAATCATGTGGTTCTCACCAAAATAGACACATCACTAGAATTCAGCTTTCTGCAGATTGAAAAAAACAGACAATTACAACTCCTGCACAGCCTACCGAAGTTAATGAAAAGTTTAAAATAATATTTGTTAGTTATACCGGTCAAAGTGCGTGTTCCAGTGCTTTTTGCGAGTTTTACGACAGCAATCAACGAAATATTTTTAGAACAGCAGCGAAAATTTAAAAGTAGGATATAAAAAGTGACTGGACTGAAACGTATCCTTTTGTTTTGAGTGGTGCTCTGCCAAGACACATTTCCAAACATTTAACCTTTCGCTTTTGCCACCTTTTATGTCATATAATGTGTCGTATTTGTATGCACGTAAACAGCTGTCGTTGTAACTTTAACAGCGCCTGTAACTGCAGGAAGGAAAGGTAAGTTCAATGCCGGCGGTCGAGTTAAAGGGATAGTTCACCCAAAAAGGAAAATTTGATGTTTATCTGCTTACCCCCAGGGTATCCAAGATGTAGGTGACTTTGTTTCTTCAGTAGAACACAAACGAAGATTTTTAACTCAAACCGTTGCAGTCTGTCAGTCTTATAATGGAAGTGAATGGAAATCACGGCTTTGAGAGTCAAAAAAACATACACAAACAAAACCAAATTAAACCCTGCGGCTCGTGACGACACATTGATGTCCTAAGACACGAAACGATCGGTTTGTGCCAGAAACCGAACAGTATTTATATAATTTTTTACCTCT